AACACATCTCTGTATTGATATTTTCTTCCCAAAGTTATTCCCAAAATACCCAAATTTAATTCATCTGGAGGAGAATCAGTGTAGATATAAGGCATTTCTGCATTCGGATAAAATGTTTCATGTTGGAAATACCAGAAGCTTCTTTTCACATTATCGTAGACGACTATTTTCCGATCAAAAGCATTTGCTATATACACTCTAAATTCATTGCACGACCCATATACATCAACAACAAAATTATACAGTGCTGAGGCATCATTTACCACCGAGTCAGGGAGTGTGACTTTAAGTACCGGTGGCTTGTCCAATGACTTTTCATCACATCCGTAGACATCGAATGCCCAAAGAATAGGACGGCGTATTATAACATTACCCTCGACATATTGCAGAATTCCGGTATCAAGGAAAAACAGGCGGGAGCATTTTTCTACAATCTGAGTATTGTACACTGAAATGAAATGGTAAGATTTTCTATAAAACGGTTTCGCGGGCTTGTGAGGCGGAACGTAAGGTGGTTTAATAGTGGTATCTGTGGATATGGGCTTTTTCTGTGGCGGATAAAACGGTGGTTTGTAACTTGGTGAGCCGTGTGGTGGCTTGTAGATGGGCTTCGAAGTTGTCGACGGTTCCGGTTTATAAATGGGCTTGTAAGTAGGCTTGTAAGTGGGCTTGTAAGTAGGCTTGTATGTAGGCTCGGTAGTAGGCTTGTAAACAGGCTTATAAGTAGGCCTGGGCGTTGTTGGTGGTGGCTTAGGTTTATAAGTTGGCTTATAAGTTGCTGTTGGTGGCGGCTTGGGTTTTGCAGTTGTTGGCTTTGTAGTTGCAGGACTGTGGGTAGTCAAAGTAGATTAAAGTTACAGTTCAGAACAAAAAGTTAATGACATACATCGGGTACGGGACATAACTGCCTCCATGATGATGACCATGACTTGGCTTGTAACTCCCATGAGAACTCCCATGTCCGGTGGAAGGTTTGTAATATTCACTTCCAAATGGACGTTGCGGCTTCTTTTTTCTACCATCGTCATCATATTCTTCTTCTGTGTGCGTTGCAGTGTAAAATTCACTTGTATCCCTCCGAACTCTGTCAGAACTAGGATATATGTTATACTCAAAATCGTCCTCTCGTAGATCATTGACACCGAACCATCCCTGAATAAAGTAGAAATGAATGTTTACAAATTTATTTTGGCAAAATCTTTACAAAATCTGATACTCACCGGGACATAATTGTCCTCACATGTTGGAAAGCAATTAAGATATGGTGAAGATTTATGTTGAAAGTCCTTTGCTTTGATGAAAACCACCGCTGCAGGACTTCCCGGTCCTATTCTAGGAATTCCAAAGTACAGACAAGAGCCGGCAGTGTGATAAGATAAAGCGGTGGGAGTAATAGTAGTGTAGGCGTAGTATGGGTGTCCTCCAGCATCCGCATTTACTGAAGAGTTTTTACAGATTTTATTATTGCTGCTTTTTCCCATTATTTTCAATTACTTACAAGGTTGTGGAAGGTTTTTGAACTCCAATTTCTCCCAACTGAATATAGTTTTCACCGGTTCCGATGGCGGAATACTTTTTACACACGGAGAAAATAGTACAAGAATGACGAGGAGTGGATTTACTCCTGAAACACTCTCCATTTTCATTCCTTTCACACCAATGGATTTTGTCAAACTGAAACAGACGATTTTTGTGCGGAGACTTTTATAAAACTTCGAGAATGCGAGTCGCATTTGAATAAAAGACACATGAGTTCTTTGACCAATAAGATATCCGAATTAAGGATATATTTGAGAAAAGAAAACCAGTTCCCATATGAGGTTCTTCTTCGGTATACCATTAATTGCTGTCTTTTTCTATTATTTATCCTTCCAAAACATTTCTATACTTTTTTCTTCAATGCCATATTACATACATATATGTATTGCATCACCGCGTGTACAGCGAACGGACTGATATGGAAATTTACAGTGAATTAACATGGGCAAAAGAAATCGAGACTCAAAATTGATAAATGAGTTTATTGACCGACGAGGGAAGATGTCTCGTGGGGTAAATAAATGTATTCAGAATCCATTTTGGCAAGAAAACCAGTTCCAATCATGGAAACATTTCTCTCATTTTCGATTCTTTCACATCAGAGAGCTCCTCTTTTATCAACTGCTTTGTGTGTTGTTGAGCTTTGTTGGCCAAATCTTCAGGTGTAACTTGTTTGCTCCTCGACTCTCTGTCAACGTCTTCCCAATTGGCAGTGAGATAATCGATGAGGTGGTTTTTGTAGTATTCCTCATCCTCAATGGGATCATTTCCAATGTACTGATTGCCTTCGTCGTCAAAGGAGGATTTAATGAACTCATTGGCGGCACAGACTGTGCCCCTGATTGCATCCCCAATGTTAACGCGATAGATCCAAGTGGAATAGGATCGATCGCCCTGAAGGGCTGCGACACTGCATTGTAGACGACCGTTGCTGATGAGCCACAAGTCTCCACGATTGTCGATCTGCAAGGAAAATCATTGCTCTCAAATATCATTAGGAATAATCGTGCGGAAAAACTTACGCTAAGACTCTTCTGATTGTTATTATCATGAGTTACAGGAATGCTACCAATGTTCGCTGGATGAAGAGATTTTTTCACATTCCAGCATCCTAATGACTTCGACTGAACACTTGCGAAGAACATCACTCCGTACCGATGATCAAATGCTAAAGCTGGAGATCGTGTGCTGCATCCTCGATAGCCGACGAATTTGATATCATGTCGATTGTAATTTTTAGGTGCTTGACTCTTATCCAGTAGCATATTGGTGGATGTAGCGTAGAGTCCTGTGCTGGAAAATGATTGGTAGAATACAGTGCTGTAGCCCTGAGTCTCTCTCCATCCCAAAGCAATTGAGTTTACTCCGTGGTGAGCCGTATAGGAGAATCCGTCGAATGAGAATTGGCTTTCCTGGTTGTCAGGCTTAAATGAGTAGTGCTGGAAGGTCCATCCGTCGTTTTTGTGCATAGAATACACAGCAATGGTATTATCCAGGAAATTTGTGAAGAATGCTGTAGCAATATCACACGAGGATCTGTCTCTGACATCCACTGTTATACTGCTAAGTCCTTCGCCCGTCTCAACAATTTCCCTGGGAATATCCACTCGACGAATCACACGATAATCTCCCAGTTTGTCACCAAATGTGAGGTCGAATATCCACAGGGAGGGACGATAGATGGCTGATCTTCGGTTGTCTTGTCTCATCACACCAGAGTCCATCAGCCACAATCTATCGCATTTGTCAATAAACATGGCACTCACGGAGATGAGGGGTTTGAGTCTGTTGGCAGGTGTGGAGCCTGGAGAAGGTTGAGAGCCCGGAGAAGGATGAGAGCCTGTGAGGTGATCTGGAGGGGGCCTCTGATTACTTCCCTGAGATGTGATGGGATTTGTGGGCACTGGAATTGGATGTGCCCATTGATTTTGATTGCCCGAAGGAGGCACAAATGGTTTATAAGGCGGAACGTAGGGTTGATTTGGTGAAGCTCCCTGTGGATTGCTGGGAGGGAAGAATGGATTAGATGATCCGGGATATTGACCGGTTTGAGGATATTGCGACTGTCCCGGCTGTGGATACTGTCCATGTGACGGATACTGTCCTTTTTGAGGATATTGACTGGTCTGAGGATACTGTCCAGGTTGAGGATAGAATCCTGGTGGAACATATTGTCCTGGTTGAGACTGTTGACCTGTTTGGGAGGATGCAGTGCTTTGGGATGATTGTCCTAATCCTGATTGACTCGCCTGATTGGATTGCGAGGATTGTCCCGTTTGACTGTGTTGTCCAGTTGAAGGATATTGACCAATTTGAGGATATTGGCCGGTCTGGGGATACTGTCCGGGTTGAGGATAGAATCCTGGTGGAAAATATTGTCCTGATTGAGATTGTTGACCTGTTTGGGAGGATGCAGTGCTTTGGGATGATTGTCCTAATCCTGATTGACTCGCCTGATTGGATTGCGAGGATTGTCCCATTTGCGAATTTTGACTTGATTGTGATTGACTGGATTCATTCCACTGATTTGTAGATTGAGAGTTTGACGAAGACGACATCGAACTAGTTTGGGAATTACTTTGGGAAGACGATGAAGAACTGGATGATGAAGATGAAGATGAAGATGATGTAGTGTCGTGGAGCTCAGGCTTCTTTCTCCTTCTTTCGAAAATGTCGTCATTGAAGTCTCCAATGACATAATAGTTCTCAACATCTCCAATTCCTCCTAAGCTTTTCCCATATTGGAATTCCTGTCACAAGAAATTTGCACATTATAACACACTATTTTGTTGCTTTTCAATATTACTCACAGGTATTTCATTAAGCTCATAGTTGGGGAAAGGCGTGAGCGGTGGACTGGATCCTGGCCTGTGCTTCTTTACATCAATCACATTGAGCGTCGCCGGAATTCCATGGCAGTCTCTCTTGATGCCGATGAACAGGTATCCTTTCTCGGGATAGTAAACTGCACTGGTAGGTAGTAAACTATCCCGATTTACACTCTTTTGCTGATTGTCGTACCACAAGCGTTGCCATTTATACGCCTCTAGGGCATAGTCTCCCGCCCGTGAGATCGCGGGCAGAATTAGGAGGAAAGAAATCACAAAGTGGATGTTCATTGGGTGGGATGCTTATTCGACTTGTGGCGATCGCGGTGGTTCGAGGCGCTTTTATACCCTCTTCTTCGCGAAGTGTCATAAAGTGTGAGACTAGAATGAGTTCTTTGACTGAATTTGCCCTCCTTCTATCTCTGCTTCTGCAAGAATGGTGAATAAAATCAAGGTGATGAACCCTCTGGGTCCCATGTGCCGGTGATAAAACTCGTTTTTTATTGTTAAATCATTAATTTTGCACACGACAGACTTTTTATAAATGAGATACTTCATGGTGGGCTTTGTGCCTTAAATGTATCAAATTAGTTGGTAATTTGAATTAAGCGTAACACATCCATAAAAATTTTGCATGCATAAGAGATTTTATTTATTTCAGCTTCACATTCCAAAGTTTTATTAGAACATCTTATGGTTTATTGCCATTTACATCGCATCTAGTTCTACGAATTGATTTCCTTGTGTCCACGTACAGCAGACGAATCTGAGGTTTATAAAATTCATTATTTACTATATCAGGATCATCCACGGGCGGATGACCATTGGCCATGACCCACAATGTTGAATTGGAATCAACAGATATATCAGTGCCAAAGAGAAATCTGGCATCGGAATAAATCACGTCAGTGTGGTTTGAATCTAATGGTGTTTGGGTATTCCAGCAGGAAACCTGTCTGGTAATTGACTCAGCGAAGAAGATCACTTTAGTTTTTGGATCATAAACCAAGGTAATGGCTTCAGTGTAGGGCCCACGATCACCTATGCGTATAGGATCAAATCTGGCACCCTTTTTCTTTAACGCTCCAGTACTGACTTTGTAGAGCTTTGTGCTGCTTCCGGCCAAATAATATGCCATGCGATTTCCTGTGGCTTCCCTATCGCCGAGAGTTATTCCAAAAATTCCTACCTTATAGCTGTACTTCTTACCACCATCGAGGACTATATTAACGTCCTTCTCTGGCTTAAATGAGTCATGGCTGACTTTCCAGGACGCCTTATTTTTCTTGTCGTAAACAACAATTGTGTTTTCTTCGTAATTTGTGATGTACAAGAAGGTGTCACTGCATCCTCCCTTTGGATTTATCACATCGACTGCGAAGCAACCGAAAGACAGAGGATTTTTCACGACTTCAGCAGGCAACTCGTAGCGATCTACCTCTGGATAATTTTCCTTTGTTAGGTCAAAAGCTATAATGGCGGGATTTTGCTTGCGATATTTTGGCTGGCCTTCTTTGTAATCAACCATTCCAACGTCCACAACCCAGAGGCGTCGGCATTCGTCAATGACTGGTTGGTAAATTGATATTAGGTCCTTTGAGCTCTTTCCACTGAATTTGCTAAGAGGAGGAGATCGTTCAGGATGTTTCTTCCTCTCGATTTCGGTTAGGGTATGAGGAACTTGAGGATATCTCCGTGGAACTGCAACAAAGAGTTTCTGCGTCTCTGCATCGTAAGCAAATCCAGTTGGGATACTGTTTAAAACGTTGTACGATGCTATAAAATTTAAAATCAATTTATTAGTATGAGAAAAGTATTTCACATAATGATAACGCTTACATGGATTTACGCCTTCAAAAGTAACATTTCTCCAAGCATATTCTCTTTCCACGTGATAACCAAGAATTCCTTGGACGAAAATTGTGCTTAAAAGAAACAGAAACCACTCCATTGTTGCTTCTTAGAAACTGAACACAATTCTACCTTCAATGGCTCTTATAGTTGCGAGAAAATATTAAAAATGAATTAAGCAGATTTATTCAAGTGTGTACATACTTTTGTAATCCATTCATTTGAACAGTTGGTTTGACGTATTATGCAAGGATTTTTAACAGAAAATACAAATAGATTGTCTTAAGTCATTTATTTATATCACAAAGCGTGTTCATGTCGCTCGAATTCCTCAATGCACGGAAGTCAGTATTTTGAGTTGAGATAATTGATCAAAGAGTTAAATTCTATTACATAATGACTACTAACTTATTCAAATTAATTATAGAAAAACTCTATTGAACCACATGAAACTGAATTAAACAAATTTATTGTAAAATTTCGTTGATGAGTTAATGTTTGCGCAATAGTTGTTGGAAGTTGCGACAAAGTGTTATTTCGTTACATTTAATTACTTTTTTTAAGTCATCTGTCCATTAATCTGTTTAAGATTAAGGAATGAAATCTGGAAGTTCCTTGGGATAGTCAAACACTCCGTCAGCTCTGTATTCCTCTTCGTCATTAGCACAGAGAGTGTTCTTAATCGCTTTATCCACATGTTCTCGATAGAGCCTCACGTTGACTTTTGAAGTGTCGAAACCGTAGTTAAAGTAGTAAGGATTTCTATTGATAAGCACCCACAAGTATCCGCGTGCGTCAATCTAAGTGATACAAAAAGAAGAAAATCAATTTTCTGAAGAAGAGAATAAATTTCAGAGTTCTTACGAAAACATCACGAACAAAGACGAAGTTTGGATCAGTGTAAAGCACAATATTGTAATCTGGAGTGGGTGGTTTGCGGACGTTCCAACATCTCAAGGATAAGCCATCTCGATCTCCGTAAAAGATCACTCCGTTCTTCGAATCAAACACATGAGTGACAGCCTGAGTTCCACAGCCTCGATTGCCAATGGGTCGGAAGTCATCTGGATTGTAGTTCGTGGGCGCGAGATCCTCCTGCTTCAGGACTTCTGTGGACACTCCAAACTGAACGGTTGTCGTGGGAGAAATGTAAAAGGCTGTGCGATAGCCTTGAGCATTTCTCCATCCTAGAGTTATTGAGAAAACTCCTAATGCGTCTGTGAATTCATCTTCACCGTAAAAGTATGTAGAAGTTGCCACAACAGGAAAGAAGGAATAATGTTCGTGGAATGACCAAGCTTTGTTTTTCTTGTAGTCATACACATTTATCTTGCCGGTTAAAATGTTCGGGAAATAGCCAAAGACATCGTCACAAGTGCCACCCTTCTTGTAATCAAGTGCGATATTCGTAAGTCCTGAACCGACTTGAACGACATTTTTGGGGATTTCAAAGCGACGTCGAATACGATATGATCCTTCTCTGCATTTTGCATCACTGGGTAAATCAATGACCCAGAGTGATGCCGGTTGAATTTCAAATGTCTCGCCGGGGGGATAGTTAAGAATTACACCTGCATCCAAAAACCAGACTCTATCGCATACATCATCAATTACTGGATACCACACAGAAACCAAATTTTTCACAGGTGGTGCAGGATATTTTTCTTTCGTGTGTGGCGGAGATGTTGGGGTGATTTTGTCATCTTTGTAAGGAATGGGCACATAATGAACATCCTTATGGCCGGTAAACGTCGAGTGAGAGTGAACTGAGTGGATTTGGGAAAGTGATCCGTACTTATTTTTGTGGGGTTGGTAGTTGACGTGAGAATCTTGTGGTTTACTGTAATGTGGCTTATTAGAGTGATGATAATCCGGCTTCGACACGTGAATGTACTGGGGCTTATTGTGTCCTCCGTGGGTGTACTGAGGCTTTGACTCAGCATGTGAATGTGTTGGTTTGGTGTGATAGTTTTGGGAAGGATATTTGTTGCGATGCTTGTCCTTGTGCTTATTTGAATAGCTTCCAGTCTTTCCACTATCAATATTTTCCTCACTTTCAACATTTTCGTCTGCCTCTTCATTATCACTGTTCAATTTCAAAGTCTCTTCATCGTCTACTTTTGTCATTTCTACCTTCGCATCAAGAACTCCGTCGCTTTTCTCATTCTTTTCAATTTCATCGTTTTTCACCTCAAATTCTGGTTTTTCGACTTTCATTTCTTTCTCGGCGTCTTTCTTAAATTCTTCCTCAGTCTTATCTTCCGCTGATCGAATGGCTCGCCTTTTGGCGGTTTCAAAATAGTCAGCTTTGAGTTCATTGACTTCGCAGTTGGGGAAGCACCAAACTTTCGGGGTATTGCTGCCTTTTTTGTAATCTTCTGCACAGAAAGCATTCACTGTGGACGGAACGCCTTTCTTTGCTCGAGCCACTGTCACGATAAAAGTTCCGGTGGATGCTTGATATCCTATTCCCTGCACATTCGCATTTCCCGGGATGTAATACGGTTCATCGGGTGTCACGTAATAATCATCTGAAGAAAAATAATCACAGTAAAATTGTGTGATTTTCCAAAATACCACTTTTTACCAGGATGAGGTAAATTCTCGTATTCCACGTAATTCCAAGTGTAAACTTCTTCCATATCTGCATTGTAAGATGCGACTGAGAATAATAATATTCCCAACACTTTAACAAAGAGCAACTCCATCTTAGGCGATTTTCACAGGTGGAACAGTGAAGTAGAACTGAGAAGAAAAGTGTAAAAAGTCGGAATATATACTATACATGAATTTCTCATTCTCTGTTCAACCAAAGTCTTCGTTAGTTCAATGACACGATAGTTCAACGTCAGGCTTTTACATTGAATATTTTTGTTGATGGTTTTCTTCATGCATTTCAGAAAGAAAAAAAAAACTTTTCCTGTCTTGAGAGAATCTTTGAGCAAAACTGTATTGAACGAATAATAATGTAGAATTGAAGGTATTGTCAAAGGCAGGATTCTGGACTGCTGTTGGATCCCTAAGTACAGAGCAACATCCTTGAGATTTGAAACTTTATTCAACCACATGAAACTGAATTCAACAAATTAAATGCTAGATATATCTAATCATTTATGTTTGTACAATTGCTGTGATTATCATGAGAAATGCTTGTGTCATGGTTTTCGATTACTTTTATGTCTCGCACACACAAAAAATGATGAAGTTTAAGATTGAGGAATGAAATCTGGAAGTTCCTTGGGATAGTCAAATACTCCGTCAGCTCTGTATTCCTCTTCGTCATTAGCGCAGAGAGTGTCCTTAATCGCTTTATCCACATGTTCTCGATAGAGCCTCACGTTAACTTTTGAAGTGTCGAAACCAAATTTGATGTAAAATGGATTTCTATTGCTGAGTGCCCACAAGTATCCGCGTGCGTCAATCTGAAAAATTAAATTAAAGACCATTGTTTGCTGATAGAAAAAAATCATTTAGAAATACTTACAAAAATTTCATGAATGAAGACGAAGTTTGGATCAGTGTAAAGCACAATATTGTAATCTGGAGTGGGTGGTTTGCGGACGTTCCAACATCTCAAGGATAAGCCATCTCGATCTCCGTAAAAGATCACTCCGTTCTTCGAATCAAACACATGAGTGACAGCCTGAGTTTCATAGCCTTGATTGCCAATGGGTTGGAAGTCATCTGGATTGTAGTTCGTGGGCGCGAGATCCTCCTGCTTCAGGACTTCTGTGGACACTCCAAACTGAACGGTTGTCGTGGGAGAAATGTAAAAGGCTGTGCGATAGCCCTGAGCATTTCTCCATCCTAGAGTAATTGAGAAAACTCCAAAATTCTCTGTGAATTCTTCACCATCAATTTCATATGTGGCTCCCTTTGCAACAGGAAAGAAGGAATAATGTTCGTGGAATGACCAAGCTTTGTTGTTCTTGTAATCATACACATATATTGTGGCAGTGAAAGCATTTGGAAAGTACGCAAACACATCGTCACAAGTGCCACCCTTCTTGTAATCAAGCGCGATATTCGTGAGACCTCTACCAACTGGAACGAGACTCTCGGGAATTTCAAAGCGACGGCTTACACGATATGATCCTTCTCTGCATTTTGCATCACTGGGTAAATCAATGATCCAGAGTGATGCCAGCTCAATTTTAATGTCTCCATCTCGATAGTTAAGTGCACCTGTATCCAAGAACCAGACTCGATTGCATACATCATCAATTACTGGATGCCAAACTGAGATTAAATTTTTCTCAGATGTCAATGCATATTTTTCTTTCGGGGGTGGCGGTGATGTTGGGGCGATTTTGTCATCTTTGTAAGGAATGGGCACATAATGAACATCCTTATGGCCGGTAAACGTCGAGTGAGAGTGAACTGAGTGGATTTGGGAAAGAGATCCGTACTTATTTTTGTGGGGTTGGTAGTTGACGTGAGAATCTTGTGGTTTACTGTAATGTGGCTTATTAGAGTGATGATATTCCGGCTTCGACACGTGAGTGGTTTCAGGCTTTGATGCGTGGGTGCCGTGAGGCTTCGAAGGCTTTGAGGTGACAACATGAGTGTACTGGGGCTTATTGTGTCCTCCGTGGGTGTACTGAGGCTTTGACTCAGCATGTGAATGTGTTGGTTTGGTGTGATAGTTTTGGGAAGGATATTTGTTGCGATCCTTGTCCTTGTGCTTACTTGAATATATCCCAGTCTTTCCACTATCAATATTTTCCTCAACATTTTCGTCTGTCTCTTTATGATCACTGTTCAATTTCAAAGTCTCTTCATCGTCTACTTTTGTCATTTCTACCTTCGCATCAAGAACTCCGTCGCTTTTCTCATTCTTTTCAATTTCATCGTTTTTCACCTCAAATTCTGGTTTTTCGACTTTCATTTCTTTCTCGGCGTCTTTCTTAAATTCTTCCTCAGTCTTATCTTCCGCTGATCGAATGGCTCGCCTTTTGGCGGTTTCAAAATAGTCAGCTTTGAGTTCATTGACTTCGCAGTTGGGGAAGCACCAAACTTTCGGGGTATTGCTGCCTTTTTTGTAATCTTCTGCACAGAAAGCATTCACTGTGGACGGAACGCCTTTCTTTGAGCGAGACACTGTCACGATAAA